TTGAGCCAATAATAATAAGAACATTTAAATTATTTCCTTGTTGGTCCGCAATAATGAGACCAAAATTTGGGTTCGGGGAAGAAACTGCGTCTAGTAGCATTATTGAATGTAATTTTAATCATATTAAAAATCGTGTGTTCAAGAATAGTAATTTGCCTTTGAGAGTAGATTCGTTTGTAGAACAACTGATATCATATTATAGAGGCGATCATCTTTTATTACAAGGACAAAACGATGATCATTTGATAACTCATCGCGATGAAGGCTCGCACGATAACAATGATAACATCGCATTTGAAGATGAAAACAATTTAAGTATATCCCACAGACCTAATAATGATGACTTAATATCAAATTTAAACGATGACTTAAGTAGAGGAAGCCATTGTATTTTTGAGGATCAAAACAATGTGAACTCATTCCAAATGTACACTAATGATGACTTGATGACACGCGACAATGAACACTGGTGTAATGGTAATAGTTTTAAACCTGATGAGCAAAATAATATTAGTAATAGTTCAACTGATGATTCATCATTATGTTCCTACACTGTTACCGATGAAATCGACCTTCAACCGTCTATTAGCAGTATAGTTTCTGATTCCAGTTCAAATATCACCCAATGCCAAGCATGCAGCATTGGAAATCTTCCAACGGGTCTCCACAAGTGTTTACAGTGTCATAAAGCTGTTCATATTTTATTTGGTTGCTCCGTCAGGATTAATGGAACGAGTGAAGGTTGTGGTGAACCAAGAATTTGTCTTGATTGTGATGAAAAAAACTCAACGATAGCTGAAAATAATGTGACAGAAAGTTGGAGTAGAAAAAGATAACTACAAAATTCACGGCCGTCACGTTCATACCTTATTCGATAACCAGGATTTGAATTTTTAGATCTCAATAAAAAGGGATCTATAGTTCCTGTCTTACTATTAAAAAATGGAAATCATCTCCTTAGTAGACCAATTTCTGTACCTCAGCAAGGGAAAATAATGATAAGTAATACGTGTTCGGTAGATTCGATACTGTCAATTTTAGCAACATCAGCAGCCGATAGTAGCAGTTATCGAAAATACTTATCTAATTTGAGGGAAACAAATTTGACGGCAAGTATAGTATTGCAAATGATAACAGAAAAAAAAGTGAAACAAATTTATTACAATCGAGCATTGCTTTTGTTACAATTTTTTTCAAGTAAATTGCAAACATTAGTTGGTGGCCTTAAATCAATTGACACAACTGATACTGCTGGATCTATGGTTAATAAAGTAATGGGTGAAATGCCTTCATTCATAAAAACTAGTAACTGTACTAATAATTTCTGTTCCTTACCTGTGTTGGAAGTCACATCTACGCAGCTATCATTAAATGTTTTTGATGGTCAAATAAATATACAGAGAGATCTATTGGCATATATTGAGAGTTCTGAAGAAAATTGCGCTTTTTGTGGAAATAAAAGAAGCATAACATTAGCACCCACTACACACATTATGATTGAATTGAACTCGATTCCCACAGGTAAATATTATTGGAAATTTAGGTTCATATTTTATTATTTAAAATAATATATAAAACAATGTAATTTAATGTTAAGAAGATATAATGGAACTTCTCAATTGTATATTATGTAGTTAATTCAATTTTTGTTTTTTTTAGATATGGAATTATCAACTAGCACTGGAAATGTCGACAGTGCTCCAGTANTTTTATTATTTAAAATAATATATAAAACAATGTAATTTAATGTTAAGAAGATAATGGAACTTCTCAATTGTATATTATGTAGTTAATTCAATTTTTTTGTTTTTTTAGATATGGAATTATCAACTAGCACTGGAAATGTCGAGAGTGCTCCATTACACTTGGTCAAACAAAATTTTACGCAACCCATCAAAGCAAAGTTGGACAATTTGGAAAAGTTTTTGACAGTTGGAGATAAAACATACAAATTAAGAGGTTTGGTCAGTTTCTTTGGTGGTGAAAGAAGAGGATTGCGGAATGCCATGGGCCACTACACTGCATCCGCTTTCAGGGGAAATCAAAAATGGGAAACGTATGATGACACAAAAAAAAAAGTAGAAAACGCACGAGCATCAACTAAAAATGATGTAGAGTTATTGTTTTATAGTGTTTGATGTGTTATATTTCATTTGCGGACTCATTACTATTCAAATAATTATTAAATCTATATTATTATTATATATTACCATTATAACATAAACGATTATAAATTATGCAAATTTTTAGTTTCGTAGTTCTTTAGAAAAAAACAATTTAAGTGATTCCTATACATATTTTTATTTTAAATTAAGAATAATATTGTTAGTTAAGTATTTTATATTTTTATTTTCATGTTTAATTTTTGCCGTAATTTTTAAAATAACTAATCTCTTGTCGTTTATTGTTTAATAGAAATTCAAAATAAAGCCGCTGAAAGTCCTGCTTAGACATTTATAACAAGCTCACAAATTGTCTTAACATCAATGAAATTGTGGTAAAGCGTTAATGTAATTTTCTTCACTTTTCTAAACAACGCCAATATTATGTTTGTGCACTATATCAAATGACAAATATTTTATTGTGTGCACAAAACTAGCGTTTTAAAATTGAAAGGGAAGATATTAAATTTTATCCACGGACTAAGATATAATGGACAAGTAACGACTAACGAGTACCTCATCAGTTACAATTTTAATAAAATAAATAAATAAGTAACTGCACTGAACTGACTCGTAGTAAATGGGAAAAAACATAATACATAAAAATTAAGTTAAGCTCATATACCTACCGTCTATTATTTAAAATTATCAGTTAACGATTCTGAAATGTGGTATTTGAAATTATTTTATAATTTAATTTAACATCAATGCGAAGGTTAAAATGATAGCTGATTTTAACTTAAATAGTTAAACTAAAATGTTGATATTCTATTATTACCTATATATTATTAATATTTATTATATATCATTGGTTTATTAATTACAGATGATAATATTCACCATTATCACCGAAAACGCCTCGCCTATTATATGTTGTAACATATAATTTATCTTAATAAAAACTAAAAGAGTAAAGTTCTGAATGCTTACAACTGTCCTGATTATGCTACAAGTAATATACCATTATGTATTGGTAAATGGTACATTTTAAAATTATTCTTGATTTTTAAATTATTTGTGTATATTAAGAAGCTTAAGTGTAGCTAACTATTAAGTAGGGTCTAGCATATAAAACCTTTATAAAAGTGGTTACACTAACACCTAGGTATATAAGTGATTAAACTAAAACCTTAGTTAATAACTCGTTTTTTAATTCAAAATTAAAATTTCAGTTATTTATTTTGGATATTCAACCGGCGAACGAACCGTTAATTTAAATAAATTGGTTTTGGTTTCCATCCCTGGCTGGCACCCGCGTTTTCGAAATGGATTTTGACGTGTTGGGGGAGTTGTACAAATGAAAATGTTGTGGTTACAAATCTGTACAAATGATATAACAATTGTTGACGCAGATTTCGGGTTGATAAGTTAAATATTTAAAAAATCGGGTGCTGGGGTAACGTTACGCTGGCACCCGCGCTTTCGAAATGGATTTTGACGTGTTGGGGGGGTTGTACAAATGAAAATTTTGTGGTTACAAATCTGTACAAATGATATAACAATTGTTGACGCAGATTTCGGGTTGATAAGTTAAATATTTAAAAAATCGGGTGCTGGGGTAACGTTACGCTGGCACCCGCGCTTTCGAAATGGATTTTGACGTGTTGGGGGGGTTGTACAAATGAAAATTTTGTGGTTACAAACCTGTACAAATGATATAACAATTGTTGACGCAGATTTCGGGTCAAATTTCTAATATGCGGGTGCCAGCGTAACGGAGCTATTTTTGACCATATTACACTACCGCTGATGTAAGAAAATAAATCTTCTATCTTTGGAAGTGGATACCTATCTACTTTTAAGTAAGGATTGATAGTAACTTTATAATCTCCACAAATACGAATAGATTCATTGGCTTTAATTACTGGTACTATAGGGGTTCCAAAATAAATAACAGGTAACAGAATTATCACTATATTATTATAGTGCACAATGCTCATTAGTAAGTGGGCCAGTTGATCGTAATGCTGTCAAGCGTACAAGACACAACTACACTAGTGTAATTTTATTTTATATTTTAAATTAATAATGTCTTCAAAAACAAAAAGAGTAAAATTAGGTGGCGCTGAGTACAAAAAAAGAGCAAAAGTTAAGAAGTTAAAATTAGAAGAGTTAAAACGCAAAATTACTAAATTACAAACTTTTTTTACGCCATCAGCGGTAAGTATTTTTGTCTTATACTAATATACTTATATACAAATAATTATTATTATTTAGTTATACTATTTAACCCCAATACATATCCCTAAGGCCAAAATTTACTTCTTACTCTTAATTACCAGACTGTAAATACCAATTTATTTCCGATTAATTTAATAAGTTCAGAAATTTCATAATTTCTAATTTCAAATTTCAAGTGAACACCAATTAATGGGTTAGAAAATATGAAAAGTAAATGTAATATGTAAGTATATTAAATGTACTTACACATAATATTATATACCTAATAAGCAGGTATACAATTTATACATGAATATTCTTAGTTAAATTCGTATAGTAATATTTTTTTTTATAAACAATTATTGTTAGTTAAAATTAGTATTGTTATTTTTGATGAAATGCTGTGAATATGTATAATACATTTATTTATTGAATACAATAATGTTTTTTTTATTCATGTACCTATTTAATAAGCTAATAATTTTGTTTTAGTTGATTATTGATGACCGTCCCAAATCAATATCTGATCCAGCATTATGAAAAATCAGTAAGTCAAGCATAGATTATTTCATACTAAATAAACCTAAACAAAATGTTGAAACTATCAACTTTAATGCAACAAGAAGGTCGATCGGTAAATATATAAGACATCTCCCAAGAGATATTTTTAAGAGAACAATGCAAAATGGAGAAACTGCATATAGAGATTGGATTTTGTATTCTAATTCAAAAAATGCATTATTTTGTTTTTATTGTTTGTTGTTTGGTGGACATAAAACATCATTTGAGGATCAAAGTAGAGGTTTTATCAATTGGAAAAATTGTTATAAACAAGTTGGTGATCATGAAAAATCATCAAGTCATGTAAAATCAATACAAACTTGGCATTTTAGAATTTCAAATAATGGTCAAAGTAGGATAGATAATATTGTACAAAAGCAAATATCTGATAGTTTGTCCTACTGGAAGAATGTTTTATACAGAATAGTAGAAACACTTAAGTTTTTAACTTCCAGAAGTTTGGAAATAAGAGGCTCAAATGAAACACTTGGATCTGTGCATAATGGTAATTATCTTGGTTGCTTAGAACTAATAGCTAAATTTGATCCGTTTATAAGTCAGCATTTAATAAAATATGGAAACAAAGGCCGTGGTAATGTCTCTTATATATCATCAACTATTTGTACTGAATTTATTATGGTTATGGGAGAAGCTGTTATTAAAGAAATAGTTAGTCAAATTCAATCAAGGAAGTACTTCTCAATTATTGTTGACTCGACCCCAGACATTACTAAAATTGATCAACTAACCATAGCAATAAGGTATGTTATGTCTGACGGATTTCCAATTGAACGGTTTATTGGCTTTCTTCCATCAGTTGGCCATAAAGGAGAGGGCTTAGAAAAAGCAATTATTAATAAATTTTCAGAACTAAATATAAATATTGAAAACTGCCGTGGCCAAGCCTACGATAACGCCTCTAATATGAGTGGTATGCATAACGGACTGCAATCTAGAATTAAGCTTTGTGCTCCTACAGCTGAATTTATTCCTTGCTCAGCGCATTCCTTTAATTTGGTGGGATCTAATGCAGCTGAGTCTACTTCTTTTGGTACACAATTTTTTTGTACTTCTCAAATGATTTATAATTTTTTTTCGGTGTCCACTTATAGATGGGACTTATTATGTAGATTCTTAAATCATAAAGGTAATGATAAACAGACAATTAATATTAAAAAACTGTCTACTACACGTTGGTCTTCTAGATATGATGTATGTAAGGCTCTTTATCTCGGGTACAATCGAATAAAAAATGCACTAGAAGATATTATTAAAGACCAAATTCAAAAACAAGAAACTCACAATGAAGCTTCTTCAATATTAAATAAACTTGACTCATTAGATTTTGCTTTTATGATATGTTTGTGGACGCCTATTTTGAAACGTTTTAATGCAACTAGTGTGACTTTACAATCAACAAATATTGATTTATCTACTGTAACTAAACTATATAAATCATAAGAATCATACATAAAAAATATTAGAAATAATTTTGATTATTATTTACTAGAAGCTCAAAAAATGAGTTGAAAAACACATTTTAAATCAACTAGCTCGAGAAGAAAAAAAAGGGTTGTATTTTTTAATGAAACATTAACTGATGAAGTATCACTTCAAGGGGCAGATAAAATGAAAAATGATGTATTTTTAGTAATTTTAGACCATTTAATTAATGATTTAAATGTTAGAAAAATGTCGTATTCAACATTAAATAAAAATTTTAGATTCTTTCTTAATTTGAAAAAAGAAGATAATAAAACCATCAGACAATGTGCGGAGAATCTGATTAAATTATATCCTCATGATATTGAGTATCATGTAGTTGAAGAAATTATCCAGTTAAACGATGAAAAGATATCATCTTTATTAAATATTTTAAAATCCTTAATTAGCACTCAGTTACATAATACATTTCCAAACATAGAGATATCATTGAGAATTTTCTGCACATTTCCGTGTTCAAATGCCACAGGAGAACGTTCATTTTCTGTATTGAAGAGGGTAAAAAATTATTTAAGATCTTCATTAGCAAATGAAAAATTATCCACATTATCTATATTGTGTATTGAAAATAATATTTTGGAAGAGATGGAATGGGAAAGTATTATTCATAACTTTGCAACAAAAAAAGTTATAAGAAAAAAGTTTGATTCCTTAAAGGCTATATTATATTTTATGTAAAAGTTATTATTTGTTATTATTTTTCATAATACAATTTAATGATTTGATTTTCTTTGTTTTTATGTTGAATTTTTCATAGTGCTGTATCAATTTTAATTTTAATATACCTATTACTATGAGACATTTTTCAAAAAAGATCAATTGTTTTCTACACATGCAGCATGCTAATCAATTTACTTATTGACATAACTCAGTTTTTTAATTTTTGCAGTTCAAGTCATTTTTATTAGTTTCCAGTACAACAAAACAAAAAATTAATTAATTTTTATATGATTGATTTAATAACATTGTATGTACCTAATTGATTATGTAGGTAGATATTAATGTTAAACATCTACACTTAACACCTATATTTTGCCCAAGGTGTGATGGCGTGATGCGATGAAGCATCTGTATTATATATTCATATTCATTTAATCAGTATATTATACCTTTTTTTTTAATGATTGGTATTATTGTTGCTGTGGTGGTGATGATGGAGGGGGGGGGGGGGTTATGAGGCGGCAAAATGTGTGTGCCCCGGGCGGTATTACAGCTTAACACGGCACTGGCTGTAACTGGTACTACTGGTTATCTATAAACACAATAAATGTCTATATTATTGTATTCATTTTAATTATTCGTTTTGGGTAATTTTGTTCCTATTTATTTTTATTCTTCTGTTGAAAACTATGTCGCTATATACAAAGATTGTTGACAAGTTCAAATAGTTTTTAATTTTTAAAATCGGACGATTGGAAGTACTTAAATTGTTATGAGGCTTTTATGTTGTCTAGTACGTTCGTAAATGTGGCGCTATGTTTTTTGCCCTGCAGAGGTGAGAATAACGTTCAAGACTCGTTTTCGTATCAAGCCTATCAAGGATAATATTGGTGAGAGCTCGCTCCAGAATTGTTTATGTATCTCGATGTTTAAACTATATTTTGTGGCAGGTATTATCAGTATATTCAGCTGAAGTCAGCAAAACGAAAATAACATTGATCTGTCCAATAATCCAAGATATTTATAGGTATTGTGTTACCTAAGGTCACATTTACAATTTGTTTTATAATTTATAAAGTAAGTCAAAACACTGTATCAAGTATAATTTGTTGGAATTTTATAAGCATGCTATGTTATTTCAAAAAAAAAAAAATAATAATGGTAATGAACAGTTTCCCTAGTTATCTTATTCAACCGTCAGAAAAATACACAAAAATAATTATTTAACTATTAAAAAGTTTTGTTTGTGTGTTTGAAATAATATAATTGTCTTTTAATAAAACATGGAGGAATCAGATGGAAATATAACTTTAAAGTCGATAAGTGGAGAAGCATTGGACGAGCATGTAGAAAATACTGATGAAAGTGCACGGGTATCGAGTAAATGTATATTCGCAAGGTAAATCTGCCAATACCTATTAAACGAGCTATTACTCAATTAATTTGTGTTTTGAGGGCATTGCAAACGGGCAATTTTTAAGGAGTTCAGTATAGACAATAATTTAAGTGCGTGCGTGCGATCCGTATTGGTGTGTGCGTAGTAAATGAGTATAGGTCAGTGACACCGTCTACAACGATGAGGGTGGAGATTCTGAGAATATATTTTATCATATGGGCGATAACAATGAATAGCACATCAGTTCGTATAATGTTGCTATTTACTAATAAGGAAGAACTATTATATTTTTGAAAAAAAATTGTATAAAATTATATAGGTGCACAAAATAATGAAAATAATTCGTTTCACAATTTTTCTGAATACAAAGTAAAAAAAATAAAAACAATTACCTATTATACTCTATTCCACCTTAGAGTGAACCGCTTTCGCCCATGCAGACTGAGCCGCCGATCATTGTCTGACCCCCCTGGTCATTTTATTATGTCACCTTTCCTGGTTTGCGACGTAGGTGCTTTATCAAGCTTCACAGAATGATATGACGCATTGTCCACGATGATCACACAGTTCTCTTTTAAACAAGGCATTACACCCTCCATCCATTCGTAAAATGTCTCCCCATTCATTTCGTCATGGTAATCTCTAGTATTTTTTTTCGATTCGAAGCATAACAATTCATCGGGGCAAAGCCATCTTCCGAACCTATATTCAGGACAATGAAGCGTCTACCTTTTCTGAAGGTTTTACGGCATCAGTTGTCAGGTCGTGTAGGAATGTGTCTCGGGGTGATTTAATTGTTGATCGATCCATGTTTTGCTAGTACATTCACCAGCATTAACCCAGGTCTCGTCCAAGTAGTATAAATGTCGACCCTAATTTTGGTATTCACGCAATGGTTCAAGAAACCGTCTACGCCAACACTCAATTTCGGTTTTTTCAGTCAGAGCACTATTTCGACTACGTTTGCTGTACTTGAAATCCATTTCTTTCAAAAGCCTAAATAGATTTGTCCTTGAAATAATAGGTAAAGAGTCGTCATCGGAAACTGCTTGAAATATTTTGTCGACCATAGGAATTTCACGTTTGAACCAGAAACTATGGATATGCCTACGAACTCCATTTCTCTCAAACTCTTCAAATGTATAGCGGAGGATGACACGTTTTTTGCAAGGGATTTTACTTTTTCAGTGTTTTTGTATTCTGTAATTGTGGTCAAAATTGTCGTTACTCCAATGCCTAAATCTTAAGAAAGTTCTTGCCGGATAATTCTTAAAGGAGCACACAACACAAATAAAAAATTCTTTAAATTTTTTTTAAATGTTAAATTATTGTAGTTATGGTTATATGAAATGATTTTGTGAAGATACGATGTAAAAAAAAATATTACTTTAAGAGATATTAAGAGATGTAGAATAGCCGCGTGACGTCACTGGGCCGGAGTCATCGTAATTGCCTATCTTATACGTGTAAAAGTTCCTTGCTTCACACAACGATTTATCAATCTAAACATTTTCTTTTTAAAATTTAATTGACGTATAAATGTGTAGTTTTATGTGTTTAGGACGATGCAAGAATCAGAATTTCATTATGACGTTTAGTTTTTTAAGTATTAAAAATCTTAAAACAGACATTTTGGTTAAACGGCGGACACGTTGTTCGAATGCCACGCGCCGCTCGCCATGAAGTGCGGTTTAACCAAAATGTTTCTTTTAAGATTTTTAATATTTAAAAAACTAAACGTCATAATGAAATTATGATTCTTGCATTGTCTTAAGCTCATAAAACCACATATTTACAAGTAAATTAAATTGCAAAAATAAAATGTTTAGGTTGATAAATAGTTGTGTGAAGCGAGGAACTTTTATACGTATAAGATAGGCAATTACGACGACTCCGGCCCAGTGACGTCACACGTCTTTTTTCAATTGCTCACAACTTATTGAATAATGTGAGTAGAAACGTAAAACCTATACCATTATCTTTAGAATTGAACATTCTTTCAAATAAAAAAAACTTATTTTTTGTGTTGTGTGCTCCTTTAATGACTTTGTTGGATCGGAATTCATTTTGACTTGTACGCTTTGATCATAATTTGTCTCTTGCCAGAATCTTCTCGCTGAAATTGTAACGAAAATTATTATGATAAAACCAGCATATTAAATAAAAAAATCAGATTTAGATTTTAGATTTTTTTCCAATATCACCAAATGAAATTGATATATTTAGTGATATTGGTAAAAATTATTCATTTTAACATTCATTAAAAAAAAATTTTTACCTTTCCTGGTGGATTTTTTTTATTGGAGACTTGCTTGCAGCTTGTTCTTGGTCCATGGTAATTATTTAATAAAAAATATATGAACAAAAAAAAATAATTCACTACCGAAAATGATAGCTAAACAAATAAATGACGGTGGTAAATACTAAAGTGAAAATGTGCGTGCGAGTGGAATCAAACAAGTGATAGTGTGTTAATGCAGCTCACTATGTATGCAGCTGCAGTTTCGTGACATCCCACACCAACGTTCGCGGCGGCGCCCGTCTTGTGGTGGGGATACGCGAACAAAACGAGTTTTAGTCGGCCGAGTGGTTCACTCTTAGGTGGAATAGAGTATATACAGTGCTATCCATAAAAAAGTGGAATTTACAATATAATAACAAATTACACTGTTTACACAATTTATTTAATAACTTATTACAATTAAAATATACAAAAATTATATTATAATTGTAATATTTATTTAATAAATTATTTAACCATGTTTAACTGAGGGTAACATTGTTCCTGGAAACATGTGATTTAGGTAAAATCCAGAAAACATAACTTCCATTTTGTTAATGTATGTGTTAAATATCAATTCAATAATAGATTACTGCATATTAAAAGCAATTCTGAGCAGTG